GGGACCCACCACCTAGCTCCCAAATAAATCACACACAGAGTATTATTATTACTCATGAATGCCCAGCCTTAGCTTGGCTTGTTTCTTGCCAGCTTTCCCTAACTTAAATTAACTCATCTACCTTTTTCCTCTGGGCTTTTATCTTTCTTCTGTGTATCTTTCCTTCTTACTCCATGGCTGGCTGTCCCCTGGCATCTTCCTCCCCTTGTTCTCTTGCTGCTTCTCCTCATCCTCATTTCACCTCCTATTTATCCTCCCTGCCTGCCAGCCCCTCCTTTCCTTGCTCCTGCCTTGCTATTGGCTGTTCAGCTCTTTATTAGGACCACCAGGTGTTTTAGACAAGCACAGTAACACAGCTTCACAGAGTTAAACAAATGCAGAATAAACAAAAGTCATACACCTTAAAATAGTATTCCCCAACAATGTGTTGAACCAAAAGATGTGTTTCTGCTTGTCTGGGTTGATACACTGCCCCCCCCATTGTTTTTCCCCAAGATTTGTGCAAATCTTTTAAATTATTTCTTAAGTGATATATTTTGAAAATATATTCTGTCTGATTTGTGAGGTCAAGGAAAGAATGTCAAGCCACCTTTTTCTGGGTCTTGTTACAGCCCGGCCCTTAAGGGGAAAATCTCAGGACAGTGCACACAAACTAATAAAGTGCCTTGGTTTGCTAATGTTTGTAGTGCTTTTCCCCCGTAAACCCTTAGCTCTCATCTCAAGTCACATAGTCACAGTGATCCTCCCACAATCAGTTTCTCATGGGGAAAGAGCTGTGTGTTTCCCTCAGTTTTCAGTGGGTTTCATGAAGATGGGTAAGAGAATGGGGCGTCACAGGTGCAGATATCAGCCTGGTACAGCCGTCTCCTAACTAGAGGAGAGTGGGTGCTCATTATTCTGTTATTAGGTCCTAAGGCCCAAATCTCTGGGACTGTTCATGGGGTGAGTAGAGCAATCCAGCTGCATTCATGTGAGGTTCATTATTATGGGTAGGTGCAGAGATTGGTGACAAGAAGGACAGGCCTATCTGAGTCTTGGTTTCTTCTTTGCCCATTTCCTCCTGGGTATAGAACCCTACTTTCCATCCTCACCAAATAGGAAATACAGGTCAGAAGAGGGCTGAGGGCTCTAAAAGCTCAGCCCATACACAATCAATAATCTAACACCAGCACCCAAGGTTAGCATGTGTGCACGACTGCCCACAGTGATAAGAAACACAGCTGGCTTCCAACCACTGGTCCCGGTTCTTTCTGTCTCCCAAATCACATTAGAAGTAGAAATCCAGCCAGGCATAGTGGTATGTATGTAATCACAGAACTGAAGGTATAAAGTTAGAGGGTCATGAGCTCACGATCCAGCCTGGACCATGTAGTTAATGCCAGAACAGCATGGACTACAAAGTGGGACCCTGTCTCCAAGGACAGGAATGGACTAGAAGTTCCTCCATACGTTAACATGAATCTTATTGTTCCAGAATCTTCCATGCTCAGAGAAAGTGCTTCTTTTAAATAAGCCTTCACTGTTGTGCTGTGGCCTCCACTGTCTGTAAGTCCTGTGTCTGTAAGGTGTTACCTGTGAGAATCATGAGCAAGAAGGCGAGAAGCATTCTAACGTGATCCTAGGTTAAAGTTTAATTCAACATTTGATAATGTTCCCAAGTGACCTAGTGAAACTTGGGGCTTAAGGAAGGGTTAAAGAAAGCTTAACATATACCTCACAGCCATACAAATGAATCTTAGAGGTTACACTTTGTTCCTGGTAGAGCAGGGGAAATGCACTCTATTGGCAGTGAAGTGTCTAATGGGTAACGAAGATTTATAGAAATGTTATAAAAGGCCCTACAGGGCTCTGGTACGTCTTGGCTGATGGCTTTGCCACTTCTAGTGTAGTACTTACTGTTCCTCTCATATGCTCCTAACAAAAGGTGGCCACATAAAGCAGATCAAAGCAAACCTGCCTTTTGATTTTCCTTTCAAAGAGTCAGCATCTTTTTGTGCAGTGTTCTTTGTGCCTCTTAGAAGCTATAATGCTGCAAGATGGCAGAATGTTGTGCGTTTGTCACCGCAGAAGCCGTCATTAAGCAGCAGCATCCTAGGAAACTGTGAGGGAACCCCTTAACTTCAAGTTTGACAATGGCAAAGGAGCAGCTGGGCCCCTTTGTTCCTCGGGGGTGGCTTGATCCCATGTCAGCCTGCACTACCTTTGCTACTTTCAAGTCATCTGAGGTCTTAAACCTGCATTCAAGTGTGGGTTTCTAAAAACCCTGCTGGAAGTAAAGTACTACTTACCTTGAGGGGGACTATATCAAATATTTTAAAAATTACTAAGTCTGGTAGTTTTCTAGGATTAATAACCTCATTTAATAAAAAAAATACTGAAAACAATTTTGGTATTTCTGGGCTGTACTGAAAAGTAAATAGCACACATATATAGAAGTTGTAATTTACCAGTGGCAGCCACTCAACCCAGTGGTAGTAATTTCTGTTTTTATCTATGTTCCTTGAATAGTCCAAATTAGACTTTCTCCCGCTGCAGCATGTTCTTTTATTTCTTTCTTTCTTCCTTTTTTTATAAAGCTCAGTAGGCTTGTAGAAAGGAAAATTGTAGGTATATTTCTCACTGACTGGGCAGATCTCTTCTGTTCATTCATGGGCTCTGCTAGTTTCTAAATGTCTGCTTACAGCATAGAGGCCTGGAAGGTGTAGCAGTGGTCATGTGTGCATGTTTTTTGGCTGCCCGTGCTCAGCCTCTGTATAGCATTGCTGCAGCTGGCGCAGGAGGATTTAGACTTGTGCTGCATAGTAAGCACTAGGCCAGCCTCGGTTATGTAGCAAGATCCTGTCTGTAATTAACTAACTAATTAATTAATTAACTGACAAGGGATAGCTGAGGAATGGGGTTCAGCAATTCCAAGTGGCACCCATTTTACTTAGAGGAACGTTCACATTTAATGCCTTGCCTTTGTTGAGAATCAAAATAGGAAAAGGCCAAAATCGTTAGAACGAAGATGGTAGTTAATTTATGCTCCTGAGGGGTCAAGTCCTGAAACCCTAAAAGCAAACTGCTCTATCCATTAAAGATTGGATTGAAAGAGTTAGACTGGTCTCAGGCTGGAGAGATGACTCACCAGACACAATGCTTGTTGTGCAAGCGTGAGGACCTGAGTTCAGTTCCCCAGCATCCATATGAAAGCCAGTCACGGCTGCCCACGTTTCTAACCCCGTTGGTGAGAGGATGGAGGCAGGCAGAGCCTGGGGATGCACTGGCTAGCCAGTTTAGCTGAAATAGTGAGTTCCAGGTCCAGTGGGAGACCCTGTCTCAAAACTAAGATGGAGGGTGTTGAAAGAAAGCATTTTCTTGACAACCTCTAGCTTCCACGCGCTCCCACACGAGCGAGCACACGACTACACCACGCACCCACATACTCACATCAAATGCATGTATGTCTTAAATGAAGAGAGATCAAGCCTCAGTGCTCATGGGATTGTGTAAGAACAAACTCATGTATCAAAGATTGGATTGGAACATTTAAGAACTTGATATCAGGCTGGAGGTGGGGGAGTAGAAAATGAGAAAACGTGTACTTCACAAGTAGGAAAAACAACCTCACTATTCTCACTATTTGATTTTGGGCTGTTTGCCTCCCTGTGACTGATCACAGCCATGGCTATGACAGACCTTGCTGGTACCTAGCAGGATTCATGAGGCCCCAGGACAAAAGCACCTTGACTCCTAGGGCAAGCGGCCTGAATTTAATCCTGACTCAGTTACCCAGCTGGCTGTTTGACTTTGGCCTCTCTGTGCCCATTTCCTGTTAGCCAGGTGGCAGTAGCTCCTCTTCACACTGTGGTGACTAACCACAGTGACATTTCCAGTGACCCTAACATCTGCTGTGGTAAGTAAGGCTGAGCAAGTTCCCAGTCAGTGGGCCCTGCTCTGTACCTTGACTTGCACTCAGGGTTTGTTTGGAGGTGACTTTTGGTCCCCTCAGTCAGTCTTTCATTTTTTTCCAGCAAAGGTTGTCAAGAGTAGCGCAGCAGAGTGTTCAAACAGAAGTCTTCATTTGGGGGATTTTTCACACATTGATACAAATCAGATCTCAAGATCTCTCAGGCTAGAAAGTAAAGAATCCAGTGTTTGTCATTGGACGATATCCCCCTGACATGGACACAAAAAGGAACACCACTACTCAGTTGATCATGGTGGTAATGACTTGGGTCTGGTCTTCTATGGGGTCCTGTGTCCTGTAGCCTCTTCCCTGGCACCTCTAGCACATGGGACTTCTTGGTGAAATTTGTGGTCTTATGTGGTCAAATTAAACTCCAGGTGGCGTCTGCTTTGCTGTTACACTTCATCCCTGTTGAGCTTGGGAAGTCACCTTGAAAGTAACCGAACCATCTTCTACTTTTGTCTAGAGTGACAGCACATAGGTCAACCTGATTTTCCATTGCATTTTTTTCAAGCCACCAGTTTAGATCTAAATGTGCATTAACTTAATTAAATCCCCAAGCCTTTAGAGGGAAACATTTTTTGAGGATTTACTCATTTCAGTGGAATACGCTAGCCATTATACCCAGGCATGGCAGAGTAATGTAAGTAAATGAAGGCAGTGTATCTTGAGAGAGTTTATAGTTGAGGTGGAAATACATTGAAAATAAATGTAAAACAATGTACCACTTACAGTGGTATGTTATAAAATATAGTAAGAACTGATATTTATAAGCCGCTTCTTATTGCTAGTACTATATTCAATAAGTCCTTTCCCTCAACCCCATAAATGGAGTCATCACCCAGAGAAACTGGGACACTGGGAGTGCAGGCCCATATGCAAAGCTTGTTTCACAGGAAGAGTTGGTTGCCTTAGAATCTAATTTGCAAGAGTAGTTTAGGGGTAGAAGGATTACTTCTGACTTTCAAGATAGATTTGATCCTCATTATAGTGCAAAAGAAAGAACAGTTCTTTTTTCATTAATTTAGCAATTGGCATTTTTGAAATGTTATTTGTTGTAAAAAATTATTTATTAGTTTTTTTTATGCAGTAAAAATTTTAAGCAACCTAACAACGGAGAGTCTCAAAAAGAGAAAACTTATTTCAGAAGAAAACAAGTTGTGCTGCTGTGTGCTTTTGAGAGAATAGTCCAAAAGAACTAGAGTTGAGATCTGCTCAGCAGTGCTGCTGGACACTGGGGTAGGGATGTGCTGGGGTGCAATGTAATTGAGGCACCTGGGACCCCCTCCTTGCTGGCTTTGTTTCTGCCCTTTAGACTTGACCTGCCAAGGGGATGTTCCATGCTGTGGCTTTTAGTGGGAAGAGGTACAGTCTCCGATTTCTGGTCTTCAGGAGGGTCTCAGAGATGTGGTACTGGTTGACCTGGTAAATAAAGTGAATAAAAACAGCGTTCTCTTGGGGCTGAAGAAATTGCTCAGCAGTTAAGAACACTGGCTGCTCTTCCGGAGGACCCGGGCTCAATTTTCAGCCCATCAGCTCACAACTATCTGTAACTCCATTTCTAGGGGATCTGACACCATCAAAGAGACAGGCATGCAAGCAAAACACCAATGCACATAACATAATAAATTATTTATAAAAAACAGCGTATCTGGAAAGAGTTTATAGTGGAGCTGAAAGCATCTTGAAAATGAATGCACAGCAACGTACCTCCCATCCCGACAGCTGCCACCAAGGCAACGCCTGTACAGACACAGGATGCTATGAATGTCGGAGGGTGAGACAGCTCTAGCATGCAGCCTTGTCCTCCTCTCCTTATTATAACAGACCACCTAGCTAGGGATAGAAGGAGAGCTCCGAGCTCCTTACTGAAGAATTGGCTCTTGCTTGTGCAGGCAAAACTCTGTTTCTCCTTCTCCACCCATCCCGCCTCTCTGCTCTGCCACCCAGAGGAAGAGGGAGCTGCCTAGTGGCCTCCTGCTGCAACCAAACCTCTGCCGCTGAGTTCCGAGGACACTGCATCCTAGGGCCGCTGGAGAAGGAGCTGCTCCCTGCCTTCCTGGATTAGCCTGTGTCAGGGTTGTCAGGGCAACAGTTCGCAGCGGGCAGCTTGTCATCTTTTGCCCTCTGCTGTAAGCCGAATGTTTTGCTGTGCCGTAGCTAGAGAAGACTGGGGAAAGTGCCACAGCAGGAAGGCCCGGCTGGGATCTGATTGAACAGGTTAGGCAGTCGGAAGGAGGCATCTGAGCCTGTATGGAGTCCTCCTGGAATGGGTGTGTGCGCGCGCGCGCACGCGCATGTGTGCATGCATGAGAGTGTTTACTCGCCAGCGCGTGTGCCTGTTGGGGGGGAGTAAGTAGGAGGGGGCTGCTGCTAGGTGAGGGGGAGCTGCAGGGCCTCAGTTGCCAAGTAGCTGGTAGTATCTGTCAGCTGTTTGCACACTGTTTACCCATAGGGGATCTATTACAAGTGCTCAAATGAACCGGCAGCCTAGGAGCTAGCAGCTTCGTGGGAGCTGCAATTACATAAGCATATATTTTTAATATAAGTGTTGAACAAGTAGCAGCGGTATGCCTGGATCAGCTACAGCTATCCGACAAGAGAGACTGAAGAAGACCCATGCAAGGCCAATTCCCCTTGGTTTATTCACCATTAATGAGGAAGATGAGCAGCAAAAGAATGGAAATTCCAGAAGACCCAAAGGTATGCATTAGCCCTCCCCCCTTTGGTTGTAGCCAGCCAGATGCAGCACGCTTCTTATAGCACAGGTTCCAAACTGTGCTCGCGGCTCCTGCTTCTCGGAGTACTCATGACCTAACACAGCTCACCAGTTGTGTTTACACACCCCTTAAAGTGGAGGATGATGAAGTGGGAATACTTTTTTGAAGGTTTAGTGGATTTCAGATCTGCTACTTTTTAAAACCCAAACTGTTTTCCTAGTATAAAAGTCTTTAAAGTCCATTCCTTCATTTAAACAGGGGCCAGTGACTCTGACCTCATCCAGAGAAAGAAATTTGACTTTGAGGGTTTAAAGGAACAATACCCTCACCTTCCCATAGGCACATCTGATCGTTTTCATTTACTTTACTGAAAATAGTTTTTCTGCAGAAAGGATGGATTGGGTAAAGTGGTAAAAACGGCCCCTCTCCATGGGCAGGGGATGAGATGCTTCTGGGTGTCATGGGCAGGGGATGAGATGCTTCTGGGTGTCATGGGCAGGGGATGAGATGCTTCTGGGTGTCATGGGCAGGGGATGAGATGCTTCTGGGTGTCATGGGCAGGGGATGAGATGCTTCTGGGTGTCCTTTACTGAGATGCCGAGGGACCAGGAAAGAAGGCAAAGCCAGGGAGCTGGGAGAGCACTGTGGTGTCTGATAGCTGATAGCTGTTGCTGAGCACTTGGGGAGCAGTTCAAACATGCGAGGTCCAGAAAACAGAAAGATCTAAGTGGTGTGGTGTTTTGCTTATGACATGTAGCAGCTGGCCAGGTTTAAGTCCCACATGCTGTGTCATCCAAGGCATTGTCTCATGGCCATTCTCATGCATTTTTGAAGAAGGGCTTACAGGCTTGTACCTAAGTTTTACAGCATCCTGATTCTTGTAGCTGCCTTCCTCAAACTATTCTAGCTGTTCTCTCCAGCAGATGTGGCACCGATTTTGTTATTTTCATGAGCTGATTAAGTTTTAGCTTATATTCTGTCTCTGGCAAATCATTCTATCACTGATATTGTCAGATTTTCCGTAGTATGGCTCAGAGTACCAGCACAGCATGGCAGTCACAAAAGATTAAGCAACAGTAGAATGAGTGTAAGCATAGTCTACTAGCCACACTGCTGCTTTCTTGTTCCTGGCTCTTAAATGAATCCTGTTGCTTTTGTTAAGCATAATGGACACTGTCTGCTTTAAACCCAGAAGTCTGTCCATTTTGCTGCTGGTTTTAAAAACAGGTTTTAGCGAATAGAATCTTATCACTGTAGTTGATTTCTTTTTACTGTCAGGGCTTCTGTCCAAAGATCAAATGACCTGAGAAATTCAATGCGACTCTAGGGGAAGGTGCCTCTCCATTTGTCCAGGAGTGGGCAGTTGAGCCAGAGTCTGCACCTGGCTCAGTGAAACGCTTTAAATGGTTAGTAGCAGATCATTCAGCCTCTGAGGAGTTGGTAACTTTTTAAAGTTAATGCAGGTTTGCTGAAGTATTCCCACAATGCATTTGTCAAAACAAGACCCTTTCCTTCAGTGTCCGGAACAATCATTCAGAATAGCTACACACACACACACACACACACACACACACACACACACACACACACACACACACACACACACACACTGCTGGGGAGTGACACAGGGGTGCATGGGAAGGGTTGCATTCTAATAAGGATGACCAGAGGTTTTTTTTACACCCCCGTATGTCTCTAATTTGTGACACAGGGAACAATTCTGGATAGCTCTGATTCTGCTTGATGAGTAAGTTTCTTTAAGTTTCTGTTCAGGCATCTGATGAATAGGAATGTCCACTTTCTGTCCAGCTCTGCCTACATGCACGAAGTCCTGAGTTCAGTCCCAAGAGTATCATGAACTGGGTGCCATGGCCCATGACTGTAGTCCCCAAAACTCAGAAGTTCATCTTTGGCTACATAGGGAGTTTGAAGCAAGCCTCTGCTGCATGAATACCTGTCTCAAAAAACAAAACCAAACTTTGGAAACCGTGTCATGAAACCTACGAACCTTTTCAGTACACAGTAGCCTGCCCAGACAATCCATTCCTCCTTCTCCGGGTGTTCCTTACAGTTGTTCTTGTTGTCTTGTATCATCTTTTGCAACTTTTAACGGAGCTTCTATTTCCAAAACAGAACCTGACGATACAGGTTGTTCTTTATGAGTAACTATTAAGATAAGCAATCAAATTTGGTTTTCTTCCCACCCCACAGCCTAATCATCAGCCCTGTCTGAACCTGGTGCACAATGCTGGTTTGCATGCCTCATGCCTTTTTTCTGTCATCATCAGTAGTAAAGAACCTTGCTCTCTGGATTCATTAAACTGAGTGCTTCTGGTACTAACCCTGGGTTAGTGATGAGTACTGTCTTTTCAGGTGTACATACTGTTGAGTAATCATCACCAGGCTCTCATAGAAATGATGGGTGTGACTGTCATCTAGACTCCTGGATAGTATGGCCTCTGAGTTGCATGGTGGAGTGAGTCAGGAATTCAGTCAGCTAGTAGACAAGATCAATTCTTAAAAGCAGTGAGCACTTGTCCGTGGAATTGGAATGCACATGCTTTACATGCCTTAGAGTTGCTGACACATAGGATTTATATGATATTGGAGCAAGCCAGGCTGATACTGCTGTTTGCATGCCTCCAAATGCTGAACCTCTGTGTAATGCTGATCTCGGGCCTGCCTGAGCAAAGTCTTCTAGGTACCGCTGTAAGTAAATGCCTTTGCTATGTTCCAAAGCATGCTCGCTGAATTTTTCTAAGCACGGTATGTTATTAAGTAATGAGCCGATGTTCATTAGCTGTTCACTGTGGCAGTATTCTTTAGAGGTATTGCAGAAGTGTTGTGATGAGAAGATAATTGAGTGTTTTTGCCCTCGGACGTGTTAACTGCCTAATAGAGGAGGACAAATATGGCCAATAATATGAATGAAAATTGAAATGGGGAGGTACTCAGAAGAAAGGAGGGGGTGACAGAAATGTGGATGACGTCCTCATGACGGAGCAGTTAACCTGGAGACTGAAGCAGGAGGATCACAGCAGATGCTTGAAACCTATCCCAGACATCTGGATGAGGATGGAAAAATATCTGGAAGCACACACAGGACCCAAGGCAGGAAATAGCATGAATGGTTGAAAGGCTTCTTTAAAAATAATATCAAAACGTAGTTCAGGGCCCGGGCTATGGTGATGCACACCTTTAATCCCAGCACTTGGGAGGCAGAGGCAGGAGGATCTCTGTGAGTTCAAAGACAGCCAAGGCTACACAGTGAAACCCTGTCTCTCAAGTTGGGGTTGGGGGGAAGGGGCAGAGATGACCTAGTTCTAAACACAGTGTTTTCCAATGAAAGGTCATTTCCATGCCATGCTCTAAGTCTACCTAAAAGTACGACAACTACAGTACACTGTGTACCTTCTCATTTATAATGACTTCCCTGCCTCTTGTGAGCCATCTAAAGTATTGTCCTCTTTGACTTTATATTCCTAGGTTTTGTCTGTTTCCCTGTTTGTTTATTTGCCTGTTTGAAGTGGGATCTTAGCCCAGGCTGGCCTCTCCTGATTCTTCTGTTGCTCCCAAGAGCTGGGATGACAGGTGTGTGCCCCCACTCCTGGTTCAGCCTGGTTGGCTTCCAGCTCCAGTGCTAAGTTTATCTGTGAGACTTGACTCCAAATAACTTATTCTTTAAAACTTACCCCCTTCAAAAGATGATCCTATGTGTGCCTGGACTGACTCACCCTCCTGCTTCCATGCTTCTCTCCAGTCAGCCCCCACGACATGCGACGAAGGCCTCTGTGACAGCAGGTCTTCTCACCTCACGTGCTCAGTGGCAATGCTGCACAGGACACAGTGTCACAACTGCGATCCGCAGCCATCTTCGTTCTATAGGTATTTTCACTTAGCACCTGGGTTTTTTGCTTTGTTTTTTACTAAACCTCCACTAGAGTTTTTCCCAGTTTAGCTTCCCTCTGTTTTGGCTTGCTTTCTATTGCTATAATACAGACTGACCAAAGGCAATTTAGTGAGGAAGAGGTTTATTTCTAGTTACAGTTGCAGTCCTCCATGAAGGGAAGTCAGAGCAGGAACTCACGGTGGAAACCTGGAGGCAGGAACGGAAGCAGAGACTGTGGAGGATGCGGCTGCTTTTTGCTTTGCTCCTGTTGGTTGGCACAGTTTGCTTTCTTAAAAACCCCCAGAACATCTGCCCAGGGGTGGCACCACCTACAGTGAGAAGAACTATCCCTTGTCAATCATCAGCCAAGAAACTACACCAGAGCTTGCCTACTGTCCAATTTTATGGAAGCGTTTTCTCAATTTATGTTCCTGCCTTGTGTCAAGTTGAAAAAAACAAAACAAAAAAGATCTAACCGGGATACCTGGAAAAATTGGAAGACATGCCACACCTGGTCATT